TTAAAAAAACAAAAAAGGAGTAGAATCATAATTATAGTAATGTGGCGAAATAGCTTAAAAATGGAAAATACACCAGGAGCCTGCTGCTGAAATGTGAACATTGTGTTTCTCTTTAATTTGCCGTTGTCTTGGAACCTAGCTGTTTATGCAGTGCTTTCACCTTCTGTTGCTTGTCTAAGTGCCAACTTCTTTCCCAAAGGTGTTCAGTGACTAATGCTTTGGTTACAAGCCAGAATATTTTATAAATGTCTATTTCTAGGCAGCTCTTCTACAAGTCTTAATTAAACTTTAATGTCAAGCTGAAGTTTACTTTTAGAACCTCCTAGGTTCCTTTAGTTGTAACATGATTATAGAACAGTAGGGGGAACGGAGGGCAGCCATGTTCCCGCACATTTTGTCTCTGCCGTTTAGCACAGTGCCACCAAGCAGATGAGTACTTATGTAACACAGAGGTTAACGACACAGGAATGAGTAAATCACAGCCGTTCCCTAAAATGCTGGGGGAGAAATTACACACTATCCCTCCGTCAAATTTGTCCACCCCCAAATGATAGCCATTGTTTAGAATTCCTGCTTTGTTAGTTACTACACATCCTTCCTGACACGTCCAACTTCTTAAACCCGGGGATCAGAAGCTAGAAAGGCCACATATGCACATGTTCTTCATTCCTTTCTCTGCGATGTCTCCATTACCAGCCAAGGAATTTTGAGGACTGGGAACCGTTTCCTCTAATTCTGCATCCTAAGCTGTTTGAAATGAGCCTCTATGGTTGTCAGAATAATTCAGAGTAGATTTTAAATATAGTAATATTATGTTATATTTTTATTTGGAAATTAATTATGCATATCAATCGGATCGCTCTATGGCGTAAGCTGGCAAACTTTGTCCACGAAGGGACAGATAGGATATACTTTAGGCTTTGTAGGGCAGAGAGCTCTGTCTCATCTCCTCGACTCTGCTGGCGTCAAGCAAAAGCCGCCACGGATGAATGGATGAGCATGGCTGTGGTCCAATAAACTTTTATTTACAAAGCCAGACAGAGGTCTGAATTTGGCCTTCAGGCGGCAGTTTTTGAACTCTTCCTCTGTGGTACGGCTTGCTTTTTATATGACAGTTCTGTAGTACATCTTTATTTTGGGGTATTTAAATATAGTCCCTTATAGTATATTTCATTTAAATACAGTTCACTAGGATAATTTAAGCTGGTGGCTAAAATAAAGTAAGATTTAGAGATTTTAAGGAATTCATCCCAGGTTAAAAAACCCTAAATGTTGCTCATAGACAGACAGTCCATTGTATTACATATATATTTCAGCAGAAGGCTTTAATAGCTCCAAGCTAGAAATTGCCAATGATAGCTGAGTGGATGCATAAAATGTGGTAAATTTACGAAATGGAATACATACACCAGTGAGATAAACAGCTTACAAGTACACGCACCAATGTAGATTAATCTTACAAACAAAATTTTGGGTAAAGCAAGCTTGATTACATTCATTTTGAGTAAAGAAAGATTACATGCTCTATGAGTCCACTGATATGAAATATAGAACTGGGCAAAGCCAGTCTATACTAGTGAAGGCAAGATAGTGGGCGGGAGCAGTACCTGGGAGGAAGCGGGCACAAGGGCGTTTCTGGGTGCTGGTAATATGTTTTTCTTGATCTAGGTGCTGGTTTCATGTGTATATTCAGTTTGTAAAAATTCACTATGCTTATGTAAAAATTCACTTACGATATGTGCATTTTTCTATATGAATGTTCTACCTTGATAAATAAGTTTATAATGGAAAAAAAATCAGTATAAGAGGGTAAGAACTTTTAAGTGTTAAGGGAACTGTCCAATTTCTTAGAGATATATTATTAGAAGTATAAAATGGAGACAAGTGTCTAAAATTATCATTTGTTTTCACATTCTGAGGGTCATAGGAATTAATAATTTACTTCTCAAAAACTACACTCTTTCCAGTATCGATGTTGCCTTTAATTCATTGGGCAATTTAATAGTTGTACTGCCATTAAAAGGTTGTGTGGGAGATGTACAGATCACATGAATGCTTAGTTTCTTATCTTAATGAAGCATTTAAATTTGTGCAACACTGAGAACAGATAAACATGAATTTTTTATATAAATTTTTGATACAAATTTGATAGAATTTATGATGAGTTCATGAACTCTTAAAAATCACTTACCCAATAATTTACCCAATTTTTCTGCTGTGTTCCTTTAGTGTTACTCTGCCCTTTTTAATGTTTTGATGTATGTAACATATACATACCACCTATATTTTTTTTAATGCTGTGGTGATAGGGCCGGAGAAAAGAGTGATACTCATGACGCAACATCTTCTCTCCAGGAGAACTTAGTCTAGTGGTAAGAAAAAACACAGTGTGAAAATATTGGATGATAAGGGTGCCCAGGGTGCTTTGGGAGAGGGAGAAGCCACACCTCACTTTTGTTAGGAGCCATGCAATGCTGGGTGAAGGGGGTTAGCAATAATTGTTAGCTAAAAGAACATCTAAGATTTGAAGAAATCAGCTAGATGCATGAAAAGGGAAGCTGTTAAAAATAAAGGGATATCTTGTAGTAAGATACAAACCACCATGGTGTATTTAGATACCTCTTTGTAGGTTAAGTATGGTTAAACCTCAGGTGTGCATTGTACAATGGAAAGTGAGGCAGAGGCCAGCTCTTGCATACCTCATATACCATGCTAGTGAATTAGAACGCTCTCTTGAAGGTACAAGAGAACATTAAGCAGGCACATGACAATACCAAGTTTGCTTTCTGAAAAGTGACCCTGTTTAGCTGTGTGAAATTTGATTGGAGAAAGTGGACTTGAGAAATAAATTAAGGGTATAATTCAAGTTAACTAAGTTTCCATCATGAAATTTTCAGACCTTTCTTATTTAAAATTTTTTTTAAAAAAATCTTCAGCTCAACCGAGATCATCAGAATAGCGGAAAAGCAAAAAGCAGCATGCCTTTGCTACCATCAGGCAAAGTGGTTCTCTGCTCTGGGCTTCTGGAGCCCTTTGTTCATAACTCTTTCCCATATATTTATGGTTTTTTTACATTTATTTATAAATCTGCTCTTTACTATATAAGCTCTACAAAGGTGGGATTTTTTTAAAAAAGTTTTGTGTCAGGGAGTAATGACCATATTACCTGATTTATTACACAGGATCTGTCAGTTATATTCAATCACTCATTCATGAATCTTCAAGTAATGCTTAAAAGCGTAAAGTTTGAAACATGTTCTTAAACTCTGTCCTTAAACACCTTTTATTTTAAATTAACTCACAAATAACTATTAAATCCCTGCTATGTGTTTAGCATTTCCAGAAATAGTTATTCAAATACTAATCTTCCATACAGATGTTGATTAAAATGGTACAATATAAACATTGAAGAAACTTTCTAAACTTTAAACTGCTAGGTAAATGTTTACCTTTCTTATTGTTATGATTATCCTCATCTGATTTTTTTTTTAATTGGGGAATTGGGGGATGGGAACAGTGCTGGGGAATTGGGGGAAGGGGAACAGACAAGTTGCTGTCCTTTTGTTCTTCAGT